GACTTTAGCAATAATCTGAGAAGTACACAATTCGAATCACAAATTATTTTGTCTCAGAGAAATGAGAGATCATGAGACATGGCATGTGACATTTTCCGAAAAATTCTGATCGTGATTTTAGCTAATAAGCACTTGAAACCAATTTCGCTGCTTTTTCCAAGTGCAGAAAATCGCCCAACTTTGGGTTTGGCGCTTGTTTTTTGCCAATGAGTAAGAAGTGCGCTTGGATGTTTTTTTTCAATTTTCTTTGACTTTTTTTTCCGTTGAAAATGGTCAATGAGTCCATGTGTCTAGCAAATGTGCATGCCATTTTTGTGCCAATTCTGGATTATGTTTTTTTAAGTGAAAAATAGGTCAGACGTGTACATGGAAAACCTGTATGTGCAATTCTTAAAAACGCGGCAAGCAGTGGGTGATTCTGCACTTTCTCCCAATTTTGCACCTAATCTTCGTCATGATTATGCACTTTTGTTTCATAAAAGTTCTAGTATAAGCGTAATTTGGCTAGTAGATTGTTGGAGAAATGAGAGAAAATGTTGAAAAAAACAAAATGCCTTAAAAAAAAACATGCATAAAAAAAAAAAAAAAAAATGCCGTCCAAAAAAAAAAAATAGCTTTGCTGTAGCAGGGTTGGTCGCCAAATTTTTGCCAAAAAATCGTCAAGTTACCATAATCCGAAGATTCACCGAAATTTCTTACAAAAGATTGTTTTGTGCCTTAATTCTGATTCTCCACCATATCCTGAAAAAAATGAAGGAAAAATTCTACTCCCAAATTCCTTAGTAAAACCTTGTTTAGAGATTGCTCATGTTCCACATTTTGGTACCAACAAGTCTTACAAATTCATAAAGAAGAAATATTTCTGGAAGGGCATGTTTTTAGATACAGAGAACAATACTGCTCCGTTTTGAGGACCGCAAAAAAATTGCAGTGAAAATGTATGCGCAAAAGGCACCAAATCTAGTGTATGCGCTGATTTCAGATTGCGTAAGTTTATATCGTTCTGTATTTCTTAAGATGCCATTGAAATACTAGTTTAATTTTTAAATCCTTTTTTTTTATATCCTATGGATTTAACAATTTGAGAATTGTCCATGATGAAAAGTCGGCAGTAGAATTTTGGGTGCACTGCTTGATGCGTTTTTAAGAATTTCACATATTCAATGTGCACATCGACCTTTTTTCACTTAAAAAAACAAATCCCAGAATTGCACAAAAATGGCACTGCTTACACCCTTTACCTATGTACACATCGACCTATTTTCACTTAATTAAAAAATAAAGAAAAAAATTGACCAAAATCAATTGTTTTACCCTTGTAAAAAGTGTGGCAAACAAAATAAAGTGGGACGATTCTGCTTACCGAGAATATTTTCGAAGAAAAGGGCATCATTCATTATAGAAAAAATTACGTTTAAACAACCAACGAGAGGAAATTATGCTTAGCGATAATCGAGTGATCGGTAAGCAGAAATAATAAGCATGATGCAGGCATCCATTCAGTTATGTTTAAGCAATTTATAAATTATAATAAATGATCTGAAAATTATTATTTACTCTTTTGCTTCCATTCAGTCATGTTTAGCCTTTTTTATATAAATTAAATAATTAAAAGTATTACATGAAATTAACCTTTCATCTAAATTAAAACATCAATCTTAGATAGTTATTTACTATTATACTTCCTTTGTTGCATTAGGGCTGCCACAATTATTTTTGGCAGCATTGGCATCAACAATAGTTTGGCGATTTTTTACGGCCCTCAAAACCGAATAGTACCCAAAAAACTTTTGTGAAAATTGTCAACTATGCTTGGAGAATAAACCCAAATCCTCTAGAACAGTCACAAGTAATATAAAAAAGTTTGATTTAGCCCCTGAGGAAATGTTAGCAATTGACATTGTAGGTAAATAAGTTATTCAGATCACACAATGGTAAATCTACACATGTTTGTGTTGAAAATTCTTAAATAAGAAATGATATAAATTAAGAGTTGTGAATAACAGTGATGGATTTATGAAATATTGTAATATGTATTAAGTTACAATTGTAATTTGTCTACAGAATTGCAGGGAAGTTGTATGCTACATGTATTGTATGTATTAGTTCTTAGTTTTGATTTTGACTTATGTCACATTTGTAGCAGCTTATACTAGAATTTTTAAATGTTATGCCAGACAATGATAATTGATGATATCGAATGTTATGCCAGACAATGAAATTCTGATAATTTAATATTTGATGATATTGAATGTTATGCCAGACAATGAAACTCTGGTAATTTAATATTTGCTGATATCAAATGTATGTCAGATCTTGAAATTCTAATTAACGTAATTTCTGCTGATTTCAAATGTATACCAGATTTTGAAATTCTAAATTACATAATTTCTACTGATTTAAAATGTGATGCCAGATTTCACCTGCAATTAGTGTTGTGCTTGATCAAGAGTCATCATTTTGTGAATTGGGCTGTATTTTCTTTGGAATCTTAAGATTTTGAAACTCCAGATTTGTATAAGATAGCTGCTTTTTTTTCCTGCTAGCTAGCGAGATCAGTATGAAAGTTGGATTCGCTAGTGTTCTTATTCATTTATGTTGTGGATCATCGAATAAGTGATAGCGTGCATGTGCTTCTTCTATTATACAGAAAATTGGCTTGCTATTTGATTACGCTTGTTTTCTACCAAAATTTTTCATTATTACGTTTTCTCAGGACCCTTATTTTGAACTGATGGAAAAAGATAGGTTTGTTTCAATGTATTCTACATTATTAGAGTAATACAGTCAAAAGTCGTTAATCTGGACTCGTCGGGACTTCGACGATTCCGGATTATCGATTTTTCCGGATTATAGATCATCAGTTTAAATCTCGTAAGATGGCATGCAGAAATTCTAAAATTAAAAATATGAAACCGTAATTTATGAAATAAAAGAACAATTATGATTTAAAGGGTATCAAAAATTTACAAAAAAAAAAAAACTTAATATTTATTTGTTTACTTTATTAACATTTCTTTAAGTTGTTTAAGTTGCTTCGTTTTATGTGATAATACTTTCTCTTTAATTCTATAAAAAAGACATAATTTCTTGTTCAGTTACAAAGTTCCGCTGTTCAAGTCCCGTTTAATTGCTGTGCCGAGAATACCGACTAACTTGTCAATCGAAATTTTTTCGTTTTCACTAACCTCTCTGTCACATTCTTCATGTCTTTATCCATTTTTTGCAGCAATTCCACTTTTTGTTTGTTAGACATCGAAACATACTTTCGTTTTGTAGATCCTTTGGAAGTTCCAGCATCGGAAATTCTATTTGACATAATCGAAAGTTCAAGTTTACTTTTATAAAATTGCTCTTACAATCTGCAAAAAATAATAAGCGGGATCCAATTCGAAGATTAAGGAACAACGCAATCATTAATATTAACTGAAATAGATAATTAGATCATTTTAGCTTACACACCATCCGTTATACATTAAACGCGCAGGCGAAAACGTATTCTGCACTTGCGCACACGCATATGCGCAGTAGTCAAGGTCTTAAGCGCACGCGTAAAACGCCTGTTCTCTTGTGCCAACGCGGCGCATGCGCAGAAAGTTTTTAGCTTTGAGGTCCGGATTATAGATCATTCCGGATTATGGGTGTCCGAATTAACGACTTTTGACTGTATTAATTTTGTCATGTGTAAAGGCTAAGCTACCGTAGATCTGGTGATAAACATGTGCTATTCAGCAAGTGAAATTTTATTAAATCTTACCAATTTCAATTAATGTTTCATTAATATTCATTCAAGTAAATAGTGATGCTTAAAAATAAGAAAATAAATTCAGGTTCACATGTGATAGTGGTTGTCATCATTCTGCATCTGGCTTCTCTGGTTCTGGGTAAGTTCTTTAATAAATTTTTGTTCCTTAGGTCACACATCTCATCTCACATTCATAAGTATCGATGGATTGTTACGGTTACAATGCAAACTTAGTTGACCATTTAAGAATTACAGTATTGTATTACATTTTAGTGTTCCTAATTTTTCACAACAGGCCCACTTTATTAATTATGTGACAGAGTAATGAGTAAAAGATTTAATAATATTATCCTCCTCACTGTTTCTCTTATCATATATGTATTTTTTACTTCTTATTAATTTATTAGTAAATACCCTTTTTAAGTTTAAAAGAGGTAGCACGACAGACCATTTTCAAATTATTGGAATCTTCCCATCAAATATGTACCAAAACAAGAAGTATCCATGGTCAAGAGCATATAACATGCAATTTAAAAATGATGTAAGTTTTGGTTAGTTTCTAATGGTGGAGAAATTATTTTTGCTTATATGGAAAATGTGCAGTGAGGGGGACCAAATTTATTTTACTGTTTGCAAATAAATTTTGTGAGTAGGTTTAAGAAGTACTATCTGGCAATGCTGTTATATCGGCACTTTTTAAAAAATTCTGTTAGAAATTAAATTCTTCTGGAAAGGTGTTTTCTGCATTCATTTGTTATGATAAAAGATGGCATACGGGATAAATCATTAATTAGGTATTAACTTATTCAAAAAGAAACTTCAGTCAGTAGGTGATTTTCCATACTAAATACAGATTGAATGATGTTTGATTTGAATGATAGTTGATGAATGCACGCTAGGAAATCAGACTTGTGCATTGTGCTTCAAAGTTTGCAGTTCAATACCCAGCATACTTGCCAAATTGGCTGGGTTTTCTATGGAAAGCCATACTTTTTTGGCTTATACAAAGTGGATTTTTATGTATATGTTCTATTATTTTTCAAATACGAAAACTATCATTGTGCATTTTATAAATGTATTTTTATAGTAATATATAGGAATTAGAATTGGTTGTTGATTCTCATTTATATATACAGTCTTTTGAATACTGACATCATTAACAATAAATTAGCATTTTAACATTAAATTTCTATTTTCTAATGTATCATTTAATTATCTCTTTAGAAAAATTGAATTTTTACTTTTTTTGATTTAGGAAAACCTATACCACATCGTAAATTACCCCCAGAAGATGCAATACCTTTTTATACTGATCCAAAATGTCGTGGTTACCTTGCTGATCCAGAGAAAATAGCTGATGAGAGATTAGCTCTAGCTCAAAAATATGGTTATATATTGCCAGATATAAGTAAAGATCCAGAGGTACGTAATATTTTACCTGTACTTTTTCTTTATGATTTACATAAATACTGCTTTTGTCTGTATTTTGTGAATGACTGTGAAAGATATTGTTCTTTACTTGATGTTATGAAAATGATATTATCATAACTTGTTTATACAATAGAAGTCCAGAAATCTGCAGTGCTTGGGACGAGAGGTTCTGGAGATCTTGGGATTTTGCTGATTCCAAGACAGAAAAGATAAATCATAATATTCAGACTAGAAGTGCAAAATAAATAAGGCATATAATATACATTTAATTAAATTATTATATACATTATTACAATAATATACATATATGCTATTACATTAATTTATTGTATGCGTTAAATTATTATTATATATTTATTGTATTATTCATGTAAATTAGTGATTACAGGGATATTTAAAAGCATTAAGGACATAACGATAAAGACATATAGAAATAAAGGATATTAAAGCATAAAATATTTAATTTTTTTTTACATGTTTCAAACATTTTTCTGATAGAGGTTTGTTTTAAAACTTTAGGGTGCTCCAGGGTAAGTTTTTTCGTAAATTATATCTCTTGCTCTGTGACACAGCTCTGTTTATCTAAAAAATTTAGATATTTTTCACCATGTTCCAGACCCCTCATTAAAAGATATTTTCTCATTCTTATCAAATTTACTATCTGTGTTGGTGTCGGAATCGTTTTCTTGCTGTGGTGAGTTGAAAACAGAGCCAGTGATTTCATCGTTGGTCATCTGATATGCCACTGTTGGCTCATCTGACACCATTCATTCAATGATATCTTCTTGCAAAGCCTCTTTATTTATTCTTTCTTTCAAATATAAAAGCAATTCTCTTGCTTTAAGCCTTGCTGCACTGACTCGAAAACCAGAAAATTCTCTGTCATCACTCTCAGTTTCAATAAACAGAGAAGATGACTATACATTTTGCCAGGCATTTATTAATGTTGTTGGGGAAACAGAATTCCACGAGTCAGCTAACAAATGATTCGGTATTTGGTGGTGAATTTTTTTTTTAATAATCGCAAAGCGAAATAGAATGGTCACTTGAAGTTTTTTTTAGAAACTCTGATTTATAGTGGCACTTAATACTGTGAATTATACCCTGGCCCATTGGTTGGATCAATGATGTAGTATTTGGGGGGGGGAAAGGTTATGATATTATCAAATGTTAACACTTTACCGACCGCTAGCGGTTAAACAGCACACGCACGTCCGACCGGCCGCTCAGCCGCAGATTCTTCATGTTCTAAATAACTGTCAGGACAATCTGATAAATCGTCTAAATAAAACTCTCCAGTACCATTTTTCAGGGTTCGTACAGTCCTTAAGAGTCCTTAAATTTTTTTAAATCGATTTTTGGTCCTTAAAAGTCCTTAATTTTGGTCAAAATCAACAGAAGGTCCTTAATTTTAATCATCTAAAATTTCCGTCTGTTTTTATGACTGTCATTTTGAATGTGAATTAGCATTTTAAAGAATGTTTTTGGCGATTCACTGCCGTATATATGGTAATCTTTTGAATAGGTTCATGAGGTTGTAATTTGTTTCTATTTCTAATAAGTTTAACTTGAGTTTCTAAGCAAGAAGTGAAATATAAGCATTTCGAAATTCATTTTTTCTAGTAAAGAGCTCTTAAACAATTTTTTTCTTTTGGGGATGTGAATTCTTTTTTTAAATGGTTCTAAATTTGGCGACTTTTCAACATTTTGGCGATTTTAATAGAAACTTAATAATTCCAAAATCTGAGAATTTTTCAACGATTTTTTTTAAACATCGTAAACATTGATAAATTTTATTAAATAATGGTAGTATATTGAAATTATATTTAAAAAATAACATAAAATAAAAAACATTTTTATTTTTTTGCTGTCATATTATAAAAAGTTTCATTTTGTCAACTTATACAATATTTTAAATCTGAAAAATATAACAAGGTATAAATGCTATAAAGCACATATAATGAAACAGCTCTTAGCAAAAGCAAAATTAGCTGTGTAATTAATTAAAATGTCTTGTTTTTAATTTTTTTCATAGTAAGAGTTTTTTTTCATGTAATTGTCTCAGAATATTCAAAATTCTCAGAATCTGCATCTTTTCTCTATAATTTAATTTTATACTTTTTCCCTCCTACTTTTTTCCAAAATATTTCTGGCTTTTTTTTTTTCTGTTACAGAAATGGTAGGGATAAATTTTTCTTTAGGGGATTTTAGACAATTGCAGCTTGGAAAGTTTAGAAGGATTTGAAGGGAAGATTTATAGACCTAGATTCTAGAAGATTCTAGAATATGTGAAAAATGTGACAAATGAAAAATGTCTCCATTGTTGGAACTGTGTGTGGATGTATTTTACAGAAAGTTTGCAATGAATTTCTTAATTTTGGGAGACATCTGGAAGAACAATGTATTTTACAGAAAGTTGCAATGAATTTCTTAATTTTGGAGAACTTCTGGAAGAACAATGAAAACATAATATTTGAATGTATTACTTCTGATACTAGAATCTTAACATGTTTATCTTCTCTTTATTTGCTCTACTTTTCATTAGACAGAAGCATCGAAAATATCAAAAATGCTTCTGATCTTATCACATGGGCAGGCATTATAGAAAGGGATTTTTTTATTAATAAAGAAATTGAAAACTTTCAGTTTAAAAGGTTCATCTAATATTTCTTAATGCATCATACGCATAGCTGGCATTGCCAGGCATTTTCCCACCTGATGCAATCTCTGTGGATCCTAAATTCTGCTGCCTACTGCCTTTCTAAATTCTGCTTCCAATGCTTGCTTTAAATTCTAAAAGTTTTGCCATTTCTAGATTTTGTTGTTCATTGTGTTACTAAATTCTAGAAATTCTGCCACATCAGCTCTGTAACTGTCCTTTACTATGTATATTTCATATTGCTTCTGAATGTACATATACTAAGAAATAAATTATCTGCTTTTTTCTCTACTTTCTAAATGCATTTAGTGTTTTTAGAATACGGAACCTTAATTAAATCCAAAAATTCTAAAATGAAAAGTAAACGTTTTTGGAAAGAAACGAGTACATAAAGAAATTATCTTCAAATTGCATTTATTTTTATGTAAATTACCCATTTGTTTGATTTCAACCTTTACTATAATTTCCAATTCTATTTCCCTCATATGATAGAGTTTTGAGCCAGATTAAATTACAATTAAAATTGTATAATCTTTGACCACTAGTCCACATTATTAGTTTTGAATTTGACTGTTCTTGTTTAATTACATCACCGTGAGCTGTAATTGATTTGTTAGCATCAGAACATGCCTTTATTTTCTAAGTTCTTTTTAATAAGAGGCTTATTTAAACCTTTGTCTGATATTGGTTAATTTTAGACATAGCGATAATATGCTTCACGTCTGTTCGGGGGTTTTGGACTATTTACTTTTACCAGAATCAATTAAACCCTCATAGCTACATTGGAGAGATTGATAAGTTAGGAGATGAAGCGTGCAGAAACTAGTGAGAGCATTGGTTTGCATATTGAGACAAATCTCTAATTGTTAGAAAAGATGCTTAAAAGAGAAGGAAATTATATAAACGTTCAAATATGACCAACTATCAAAGTGTAAAATTTTAATACTACTTGATAAATTTGCATAATTTATTTTATTCTCAAACTTATTAACCCCTCGAGAGACGGGTAGCGAAACGCGCGCTTATCGTGGAGGCCGGCAGGTCTCCGCGAGCGTCTCTCCAGGCCGGGGGCTTTTTTGCTACTAAGCTCAAATCCATGAAATTTCCGAAGATCAACGCATTGTTTAATAGCTCTTAGAGTATTTAAACGGATTATGCTTTATAATATTTTATATATATACTTTAATTACCTTATTTCTTGTTTTAATGCATATTTTACACATTTTATTTTAATTACTCACCATTTTATGACTTTTACATTATAATCTTAAACTAAATATATTACTTAAAATTCTCTTTTTGTTGAAAATTTTGAAACAGGGATCTACACACATCCTACGTTACATTCCTTGAACTCGTAATAAGTCATTTGCCGTTTTGGAGGATTTTTCTCTGGAAGTGAACCAACGAAGCATCGTCGTCTCATTTTCTATCTGTCTTTCTGAACAAGTTTTGGAAAATGTCTTTCATTAATCTTCAGATCAATATCAGAATATCAGAATTTCAGAATCAATATCTGAAATATTTGCATCATTTCTGCTATTTCATGCTCTGTTAAACATTTTCGACGCTTCGGCATTGAAACGGTAAAAGAGCAAGAATTCACGTCTAACAAGATCTAATTATTTTCTAAAACTGAACTGTAAATGGAAATACTCAACGCTTTAGCGCATATAAACTTTTACTTACAATAACAACTACCACGTGCGAATAAAGTGCGATTTAAAGAGCCGTCATAAATCACGCCATTCGGAAACATTTAGTTCCCTTTGTTTATATAATCAAAACACGTATGTGAGTCATGTCTAATGCACGTGTATCTGAAACCATGGACATACAGTGCCTCTTGTGGCAGAAATTATAGTTTAAAAAACGTTCCAGGTACTGGCACAAATACGTGACATCGGTAGAGAATGCAACAATGCTCTGGCACGCCTGCGTGTCGGCCGGTAGATAAGTGTGTTCGTTGCTGGCACGTATACGTGACAGTCGGCGTGAAGAGGTTAACAATTATGTTAATTAATTCATGTTTAGTAATAATGCGGGTTACTTAGGGATCTATTTTGGTTTTAGGATGGTATTATAAAAGTGAAATTCAGGCATAGATAATATCTTCAATTGAATTCATTTAGTTCCCGTTTGCTCATAGGTCCTTAATTTTTTTAATTAATGGTCCTTAAAAGTCCTTAATTTCCGTGTGCAGAAATGTGTACGAACCCTGTTTTTTTCGTTCATTGTGAATGGTAATTTTTTAAAAAAATGATGTGAAAATGTGGGAGTTTATGAAGCAACGCACTTAACGCAAATGAGCAATGTACCTCAATACTAATAA